GTTTAGTAGTGTTTTTCTGTAATCTCAGCAACTAATTGTGTTGAGTATAAGAAGGTGATGCTGAACATTTTGCTTTAGGAAAAGATTTGCGTTTTCTGTAACTTTAGTAATAAAGTAGCCTAATGTTTTGTTCAGATATCTGATATCCTGTGTAATTGATCCAAAGGAATAAAATGTGTTTGTGTGTGGTATGTAGTGGTAGTGAAGATTATGTCAAGATTGCATTTATGTTAAAAGCCTTTTTGATTCTGAGATTCTGGTCTCCTTCTAGCCCTTTTCTTTATCTCTGTGATATAGATAGATAGTCTTACTATATAAAGGTTGGCCTGAAACTACCTCAGCATCCCTAGTGCTCGGATTATTGGTGTGCACCACCACCCCTAATTCCCTGTAGCATTTTTTTTTTTTAATACAGGGTCCCCCTATGTAGTGATTCTTCTGTATTTTTAGCTTCCCCAGAGCTGGGATTACAGGTGCTGACACACTCCGGGCAGGGCTGGCATGCCATGGGGTACAGGGGATTGAACCTGGGTCCTCTTAGACTGCTGAGTTATCTCTCTCTCTGGCCCTGTCCCATTTTCATGTTCCTTTCTTTCTTTTTTATGTATTTTGTATAGAGTCTCACTATGCATCTCGGACTCATAGTGATCCTCCTGTTTTCAGCCACCACGCCCTGTTAAGGTGGCTGGCTCAGCACACCTAGGGGTGAGACTGGTACAGCATGTGGTGCCATAGATTAAACCCTGGTTCTGGGCCCCTGTTTTCATGTTTTTTAAAGGTAGTTCACAGAAGAAGGAGATGGGAAGAATAAGGAAAAGATACTTTTTTATGGACATTCTATTGCTAACTTCCTGGAAAACTTAGTGTGGGCTATCTGTACTCATTTGAGTTTGGTGATTATGGATATATACTAACATTTACTTGTCTGAGTTCATTATTTTCTCCTGCAGAGTAAGAGCCATTTAAATATGCTAAACTGAGGAGCACAGCAATTTTGCATAGATGTGTTTAGTAATGAACCTTGGAATCTTAGCTAAACTTGGACCAGGCTAGGAATGGTGCTGCATGCCTGTAATCTAGCATTTGGGAGGCTAAGGAAGGAAGATTGAGAATTGAGCCCAGGCCTAGTTTATATAGCAAGGCCCAGGCCCTTTTGGACTATAGAGTAAGTCCCAGTTTCAAAGCAAAAAGAATAGAAAACTTACTCTGGACCCAGTGGCACTCGAGAGAAGATGACAGAGTCAGTGAATTACAGATTTTATGAAGTTGAATGGCTGCAGTGATGCAGTTAAGGACAGTAGGTTGTAGTTGTAAAAGGGAATGTTTGAATTAACTGATTTTGGAAGGGGTGCAAATTCTTGTCCAGGAAAGTGGCCATGGGAACAGATGGCTGAGGGTGGAAAGTAATGTTGAGGAGTTAAGTTAGATCCTGGGGGACCTGAAGGTGCTGAAACCCTCAGTGAATGACAGGGGTGTTCTCGAGCTGCATTGTCTGCTCTTGTAGTCACTCATCATATGTGGATATTGAGTGCTTGAAATGTGGCCAACCCCAATTGCTGTCGTCCTCAGCTGTAAATGTAAATAGAACCTGGATTTTGAAGACACAGTGTAGAAAAAGAATGGTTAAGTATCTCATTAATAATTGTTACCTGTTGGTTTTGTGTTCAAGTAATGTTTTGGGTTTACTGGGTTAAGTAAGATGATAGTACTAAAATTAATTTCTCAGGGTGTGGTGACACACACCTGTAATCCCAACTGCTGGGGAGGCTGACATAGGATTGCAAATTCCATGTCAGCCCAAGTAATTTAGTGAGACCTTGCATTGATAACCAAAACAAAAGCAACAAGACCTGGGGATATTAGCCTAGCATGTGTAGGGCTCTGGGTTCAATCTCCAGTACTTCAGTACAGAAATTACCTGTCTCTGTGTTTCCCTGTCTGTGTTTGTCTGTTGCTTTTTTTTGTGCCATGTGGATTAAACTCAGGAACTTGTTCATATGAGGCAAGTGCTGTACCACTGAGCTATATTACTAGGCCTTATTTTTGTGTTTTAAAAAATGGCTCATTGAAAATTAAAAGTACATATATGGCTCACACTTGCAGGTATGTTATAGTACCAGAAAGGGGGGAAAAATGAAAGTTTTCTCCTAAAATTAGGAACAAGACCGTGGAGTCCACTATCATCACTTCTGTCCAACATATTACTTGAAACATTAGCAAGAGCAGTTAGGCAAGAAAAAGAAGTAAAGGGGATATGTATAAGAAAGGAAGTCAAATTGTCATTATTTGCAGATGACGTAATTCACTACATAGAAGACCCCCAAAAAACTACCAAAAGACTCTTAAGGATTAATTACTAAGTTCAGTAATATGGCAGGACACAAAACTAACCACACAAAAATCAACATGGTATTCCTGTACATAAAAGATGAACTCACTGAAAAAAGCAATTAGGAAATAATACACAGTAGCACTAAGAATAATTAAGTACTTAGCAGCTAACCCAAGGAAGTTAAAGACCTCTACAACAAAAACCTGGAAAGAGGAAATTGCAGAGGACATCAGAAAATGGAAAGATACTTCCTGTTCCTTACATAGGCAAAACCAATATAGTCAACATGGCCATACTTCCAAAATTGATTGATTTAATGAAGTTCCAATCAAAATTCCAACAGCATTCTTCACAGAACTGGAAAAAAATCGTAAAAGTTCACATAGACTGTGAAGAGACCCAAAGTGGCAGAAGCAGTGCTGGGTAAAGAGAGCTAAATGAGAGGCATCACCATCCCAGACTTAGTTATATTACCAAGATGTAACTTTAAAACAGTGTGATGCTAGTGTAGAAACAGACATGGGGACCAATGGACTAGAACAGAGCATACAGAAACAACTCCACATACCTTGAACTACTTGATTTTTGACAGTGGGGCCAAACACATACACTGGAGGAAAGATAGCATCTCCAATAAATGATGCTGGGAAAACTGGCTACCCCTGTGTAGAAGATTGAATCTATACCCATATTTCTCACCACCTATGAAACTAAAATCAAATGGATCAAGCTAGATGTTATGCCAGAAATATTTACCTTGCTAGAAGAGAAAATAGGTAGAACTGTTGACATCATAGGCATAGGGGAAGGCGAGAAAGAGACAGACAGACAGACAGACAGATTGCTTCTCTACGTAGTTTAGGCCAGTCTTGAACTGACTGGGTAGCCCAGGCTTGTCACAACTCACAGGGGTCCTTCTGTCTCAGCCTCCTTAGTGCTGGATGGTAGTTACCAACTACCACAGCCAATGTAGGTGATGACTTTCTGAGCAGAACCGTGGTTACACAAGAAATAGTTTTGAGGATCACATAATGGGATCATATCAAATCAAAAAGTAGTGAAAAGACACCTTACAGAATGGGAAAAATTGTTGAGCGCCAATCTTGAGACAGAATGATAACAATTTTTTGGGGGGAGGAGGGACCAGGAATAGAACTCAGTGCTGCTCAGTTATACCCCTGTCCTATTATCTAGACTGTATGAAGAACTCAAAAAAGTATATTATCCCAAATTAAAAGACCCAGTCAAAAAATGAGCAAGCAAAATGAATAGACACTTAATAGAAGCACAAATGGCCACCAAACACATGAAGTACTGAACATTGCTGGTTTGTGTTATGGTTCATACATTGGGCCAACTTGAGAAGTTTAGAAAGTTAACTAAGTGACTCAGCAGGGGCTCAGGGCCTCACTAAATATCCTGAGCTTGTGCAAGAGGAGGACATGGAAATGGTGTGGGCAAATGGTTTGGGTGGGTAGCCTGCATACGGTGTAAGGGAGGAAAAGAGATTTGTTTTCTCTTTTACTTTTGCCGTCTTTTGCTTCCTTGAAGTGTTGTGCCTGTGCCATACCACCATCCTGCCTTCGAGTGAGCTGATAAGGGCTAGAAATCTCTGCAAACTGAGCTAGTAAACCTTTTCTTAATTTTGGGCTTTGGGTATTTTGTCTTAGCAACAAGAGAAAAGTTAAGACAGAAATTGATACTGAGTGTGGGGTCCTTGCTGTGGCTCTACCTGACCATGTCTTTGGAAATGGCTTGTGGGGAGAGTTTGGCAAGGTTCAGAGATGCTGTCTGAAAGAGTAGTGGTGGAATGCTTCAGGCTGTTCTGTATGGGAGATTCTGGTCAGAGCTCAGAAGACCAGAAGGTTGATAGAAATCTTGCTGATAAGGACCAGGTTTGGGAGCTTTCTGCTTGGAAGGACTGCATTGGCTCTTGAAGTCCAGACAGTGTGTGTTGTGGCTTGGAAGAAAGTTTGTCTGCATTTTTCTCATGTCCAGAGACTTTGTCCAAGATTGAGATTAAGGGTGGAGGACTAATTAGGCAGAAGATTTCAAGGCAGTGGTACAGCTATTGTTGGGGGCTTTTGGTCAGATTTATAATGAGAATCAAGAGCAAAGAACACAAGATGATTTACATATTGTGAGTTTGGCCAGAAAGGAAGCTCCAATAAACTGTGGAGTACAAAGATAGAGCTGACAAATTCTCCATTTCAGAGAAGGAAAGGAGAATATAAAAGATGGCCTGAGGGCATCATAAGAAGCAGCAAGTCTGTATCCTTACAGTCTCAAAAGTGAAAAAGTTGAAAGACTTCTTTGAGTAGAAAGCCACAGAGCACCATTTTCCACAATGGTGGCAGCATAGAAAATTTGCTCCTCAGAATTGGATTCAGAGTGCCCAGTGATCCAGGCACTCAACTCCTACATCCCAAGAGAGAGGAAAGCCTGGTTACTGCTTCCACTGGCAGTGGACCTTGACATCATCCACGTGGCACTTGTTTTAGGCACAATCAGAATGCAAGAGTTGTGGGGTTAAGTAGTCTTCCTCCCTGTTTTCAGAAGGCCTGGGAAGGAAGGCATTGTGCCTGAGAGGACAGTGTGAGGCTGTGCGGGTGAAGAAGCCAAAGGTGCAGTGGAGACCTCAGAAGTTTGGAGAAACCAGGAACGTGGATCATCTAAGGAAACCTGCACAGAGGGAGCTCGCCAGCCTAAGAGAGAAGCCATTCAAGCTACAACCATGGGAAATTCCATAGGGATGGGACCACTCAAACCCTTGGAGCTCGTAACTTGTCACAGATTGCCTCAGGTGTTTGTCCTGCTGGATTGTGGACTTGCTTTGGTCCCATTCTTTTGTATTCCCATTTGTAACATTTGGAATGGAAATGTTTATCTTGTACTGTTAAATATTGGAAGTGTTAACATTTCATTTGTACAAAGGTTTGCAGCTAAGAGTTTGTTTGCCTTACATCTTGGAGGAAACTTGGGACTTGGACTTTTCAGTAATGCTGAAAGTCTCTTAGAGATAGACTGAATGCCTTTCACGTAAAGGGCTATGCCATGAGTCTTTGGGGACCAGGGGCAGAATGTTATGGTTCTAATGTAATATAATGGTGATAGACTTAATATTATTTAAGGGTTGTTAAATCTGTGTTACAATGTTCAAGTTGTGAAATGTTAAGAATAAGCATGTCTTTGTATCTGCAGACTGGTTTAAAGAACCCAGTGTCTGGTTGTCAAATTGACAAGGGGTGGATTATTACAGTTGAACCATTGTGTCAACTTGAGAAGTTTAGAAGGTTAACTAAGTGGCTTAGCATTGGGCCAGAGTCCTTACCTTGTAAACATCCTGAGCTTGTGTAAGAGGAAGGCACCAACGTGGTGTGGGCAGGTAGCTTGCCTTGTGTAAGGGAGGAAAGAGGCTGGTTTTCTCCCTTTTGCATTTGCTGTCTTTTGCTGCCTTGAAGTGTTGCCCCCATGCCATGCCACCAATCCTGCCTTGGAGTGAGTTGATTATGCACTGAAACCTCCACAGACAGTGCGCTAATAAACCTCTCTCCTTCCTTAATTTTGGGCATTGAGTGTTTTGTCTCAGCAATGAGAGAAAAGTAACTAAGACATGTAGATTAAAACAACACTGCAATTCCATCTTACTGTTACTATTTTTCTTTTGGTACTGGGAATCAAACTCAGGACCTTGTGTTTCCTGGACATGTACTGTGCTGCTGAGCTGTATCCCCAACCCTACTTTTATCCTAGAAAGAATGACCATCATCAAAGCAATAACAAATGCTAGCCAGGCTGTGGGGAAAAAGGAATCTTCCATTGTTGGTGGGAACATAAAGTAGTACAACCATTATGGAAACCAGTATGGTGATTCCTCAAAAAAGTGAAACTATAGAGATTCTGTTCAAATAGTTATTCAAGCAGAATGTTATTCTGTTATTCAAACAGCTATTCCCCTATTCTCTGTCTTCCTGAAACAGTTAAAGACATCATATTACAATCCATGGATACCCATGTTTATAGCAGCATAATTCATAATAGCTAAACCTTGGAAGTGGCCTATATGCCGTAAAGAGATGAATGGATAGAGAAAATGTACTTACGCACATGAAGTACTACTACTACTGCTCTGCCATAAAGAAAAATAAACTTGAATCCATTTGTAGGGAGATGGATTCACCTTGAGACCATCATGCGCTAAGTGAAATAAGCTGGACACTCAAGCTTCAATATGGTATTACATTTTTTAATATGAAAAATCCAAAGTACAAATAAAGACCAAAATGCAAGATAGTAGGAAACAGGAAGATAGAGCTCCCTCAAAGGGGAAGGTGATCAAAAGGGAGCTGAAGGAAATGGGATAAAAAAGAATTAACATTTGTTGAGCTGGCCAAATAGCTCAGTGGATTAAAGCACCTGCAAGCAGGCTTAGGGGATGGGGGTTCAATCCCCGGGCCTGCGGTGCTGGCCCTGCCCCCGGGGCATGCTGAGATGGTGTGGTGGTGCGGTGGTGTGCGCTTGTAATCCCAACTCTTGGGAGGCTGTAAACAGGCGGATCACTATGAGTCCAATGTAGTAGTGAGACTCTGACCACCCCGTAGACCTTTCCCTAAAATACAAAAAAAAAAAAAAAGACAAAAGAATTAACATTTGTTAAATATATGTACTCTCTCCCCAGAACTAAAATGAATGTTATGTACTGCAAACACATACCAAAACCAAACAAAAACGGCCAAGCTGGGCCAGTGGAAGAAGGGAAAGGGGATGACATAAGGAATAAAGGTGTGTTATGTACATGCACTACCTCCCCACAAGGATGTAAATACTGTATACTACAAAAGTGCTCATAAAGACAGTGATTAGAACAAAAGGATGAAGTATAGGCTTTTTAAATTTAACCTTCCCAACTAGGAAAATTGCTGTTTGAGTTGGTCATGATGGTGCATGCCTGGTAATCCTAGCACTCCTGCTGAGGCAGGAGGATTGCTGTGAGTTCAAGGCCAGTCTGGACTACAAAGCAAAACCTTGTCTCAAAAAGCAAAACAAACACAGACAAAACAGATACACACAAAGAAAATTGTTTAGACATTAGTCACTGATTTTGTATACTAGTATGCTGAGTAGGCACCGGGTACATTTGTATACTTCACTGGTAGGAGTAAGCCTGTATAGTTTCTACTAGTTTTGTACTGCCACTATAGTTCCTAGTAAGTCAGTTTCTAGATGCTCCATGGATGCACTCTTGAAAAAGCCTAAGATGCTTTGTAATACAGTCTCGGCCACCATCACTAGTGTCTTATCCAGCTCTCTACCCTAAGAACATGTATACATGCTTTTCTTCCAAAGAGAAATTCCTTCACCTCTCTCACTCCAACCTTTTTCTAGGTAATCTTTGTTCAGTCCATTTCAGCTTACATATCGCTGCTTCTGGAACACTTTCCTTAGGCTGCTCTAAAACTATAACAAATTCACCCTCCCATGCGCTGGCAGCTTAACCAAGTACAGCTCTTTTACAGATGTAGAATCTCTTTGTTCACTGCCCATTCTCTACTGAACTATGTGCTCTGCCCGAAACAGACTTGCTCGTGGCCAATGAATATGAATTGAGATTACCTAGAAAAAGGTTGGGGTTAGAGAGGTGAATGAATTTCTCTTTGGAAGAAAAGCATGTATACATGTTCTTAGGGTAGAGAACTGGATAAGAGACTAGTGGTGATGGCTGAGACTGTATTACGAAGCATCTTAGGCTTTTTCAAGAGTGCATCCAGGGAGCATTTAGGCAATCACTGAAAAGTTTGGTGCAAATATGACTTGGAGAGGGCATTATTGAAGACAGAGGAAACCCTTAAGAATTCGTTGCAGACATGTAGTGAAGAGATCATGGTAGTAGGGATTAAAGTGACAGTAGGGGTTCATGTATTTTAACAAGGTTGGATTGATAGGACTTTGTAAATAAATAGATGTGATAGTGAAGGAGAAAGTAATATAGAGGTTTTCTGGCTCGATTCAACCAGTCCGGTGGGTGGAAAGCTTGAGAGAAAGTTGATGTATATAATACTAGATTTGAACATGTTGAGTTGAATATCTCTAGGATATGTAAGAGGTGTTTAGCTGATGTATGTGCATTTGGAGTTCAAGAGACAAAAACTTAGGTTGAGAGTACAGTTATGATTAGGGATGGGATTTTCAAGTCATGAAAGATGGATAAGGTCACTCTGGAAGAATGGGCTGAGTGAAAATGGGATCAAGAATTCTGAGCAAATCTGAGCTACTGAAGTGTTTTCAGTATTTTTTCTTTCCTCACGATTAGATGTAATGGACTCTTTAATTACACAGTTATGGACAGTCTTCCTGACCTAAATCTCTTTGGTTCATGAGAGCAATACAGAATATTGAGTAATAATAGAGTAATTCTCCTCTAACAATAGAGGAGAATTGTTAGAGGAGAATTCTTTCAAATATTTGAGAAAAAGTTTGCATGGTGGCATACCAGCTATAATCCCAGCA